CAGAATGTAATTATTTTCAAATATTAGAAAACATTACTAACAAGATGATTTTGAAATTCATTACCTTATTATTCTATGTATTCTTGGAAATATATCATCTAGTCTTTAGTTGAATTAAAATAATATAATTATTGTGGAATTTTTAATTACATAATTGCTACATTTTATTGGCAAGTTGTTGGATATAACATTAAAAAATGTTAGTTTTCCAAATGTTTTAATGCCATAATCTCTTACTTACAAATTATCAAATTATACTTGTATGGTTTTTAATTTTAATAATGCAATATTAATAATTTTAATTTTATAATTTTTTCCTGATAAAAAATGATAGTGTATTATATTTTAATGAAGTCGGTTAATAAACATATTTTAGCATTATTATACTATTGCATGAAAGCACTGCAAAAGTGTACATCCATATAATTTGCTGCAAAGAAGCCCCCCACTAGGAATATAATAGGAAAACTATCCCCAATGATATACAATATTTGTATTTCTGAGTAAAGGTTTTGGGGCAAAAACAATTATGTTTACACTGTATTGCTCTGATGGCTCAAGAAAAAAAAAATTGAGTGTTTACATACAGTACATTGTTTTGTTCAGAATTTTAAAATAAATTAAATCAAATCAATTGTTAAACAGAGGTATACAGTGACAGATTTGTACACAATTATTTTAACTTGAAATATATTAAAAGGCAATATACAGTGCATGCTGTGGGAAACATTGAGTCTCAGTGACGAAGGCTGAAATAATGCAAATCTACTAAAAACGTGTTATTAAATCCCACAGTTGTAATAATTTATCTGATCATCTGTTGAAGACACTCTGAACAATACTATTACTATATTATGTCCTACCTCAACTGGAACAGGCACAGATGGCAATACAGGTGTAGAGGAGGTAACTGGTTTCCTGCGACCTTCTTTTTTAGTTAATCGCTGAAATACACGTACAAAGACATTGGATTTTTTAGGGGCGTGTACAAGTGGAGGTACAGGTGTTGACTTTCCTGCTGATGCCTGTACTGGTTCAGCTGCCTCTACTTGGCTTCCTTTTTGTTTCAATTTCTCGGCAACTTTACTTTCTAATGCATTATCAAATATATCTTTGATCCGATCACATTCTATAAAAGATAAAGAAATTCATCAAAGCTTGAGTCAAAACAAATGAGAATAGGATTTTAAAGTTAAATTGTTTCTTGTCGTACCGTCCATGTCCTCTGCCTCTTTCCACACACTACTTATATCAGTAGTTTGAAAAGCAGTGGTCAACACTATTCCATCAGTCGATGGTTCTTCTTCATTAAATCTGTGGAAAGAAGAGTCTAATTACTGCTTGAATTGTTGAATTGTATATGTACATATTACAGTATTTAAGTGCCATGATTGAGTTGTGGTTACATGGAGGAGTAGATACAAGATAACTTTATTGTCAGAAAGGAAACTACATTTGAATATTACATCGCATGAACAATTTAAAAAAGTCAAACATATAAATATAAAGGAGGTGTTAGATATAAATTCCGACATATAGTCTATAGTACAGTATATACAACAAAACATGCTGTTGGATGTATGGGTAATGACAATTAAGTACATGCATGTTTGAAACAATAATATTTATGTGGCATCATACTGCATTTTTTTTAAATATATAGAAAGCAAATAAAATACAATACTTGTATAAAAAAGCACAGCAATACAGCAACATTTATATTGGAAATCCATTGACAGATACAGCACTTCGGAAACTTACGTTCTTTCAAGCAGAGTGTTTACCAAACAAGTCTTTCCCACCCCCTCTTTGCCAGTCACCATTAATCGTGCATGGTTTACTGTGATCCTTCCTTCTTGTACTTCCTCGTTAAAAACCTTCAGAGCCTCACTGCCTCTGGCTAATATTGCCTCTGGAACTTCAAAGCCTAATTTACAAAAGCCATATATTATTGTTTATTCATAAAAGCATAGAGAAATAAAAATAAAAAGATGATGTCTGAACAAAAATCTTTTAAGAAGTTAAAATAATTAAGAAAACACGATCCTATGGTAAATGACTCATTATTATAAAATTTCAAATATTATTATAATGGAAATGGATATAGGGAAAAAATCATTTATAAAAAATAAGATGACTTGTATATTGTCTTAAAAATATTATCATTTTCACCGTTATTGTCATAATCATCATCAACAATAAAGTATTAAACAAATAATTAAACAAATAATAATAACATTTAGTCGATTCTTATGATATTCTAGATCAAAATTATTTGGGTGATATGAAATACCGAAGTAGGTACAGTACATGGGCTTGAGGAATATTTTAACTTTGAATGTTAAATATTTACTTTATTGTAAGTATTTGCTTTCTGTAAAGGACCCCAACTTTAAAAGTTCACTTTTGGTGTGTCCTGTCTCATCTTTGTTTGTGCTGTTCCTTGCTGTTTCTTTTTTGTGACAAATAAATGAACGAGTAAACATCTGTGATGTACAATGAGCTTGACTGCAAGACATTGTTTACAGCGGATAATAATAAATTATTATCCAATTAATATAAGCAGGAGATAAAATAATATTAAACTCATAAATAAGAACATGAATAATTAAATTGTAGGAACTGCTCACCTTGCAGAAGTTGCAAGACTTCTTCCTTGTGTTTTTCTCTATTTGTAGAATCATACTCCTCACATTCATTCTTTATATAGAGGTCACATGGCGTCTGATTGTCCTGTAAAAATAATAACACATAAAACTTAAAACAAATCAATATCGATCATTCTACTTTAAAAAATACATCATAGAAAGTATCACACAAAAACAATCACAAGAAGTATCATAAAAGAAATATTATACGTACATATCAGCGCAATTTTCTTTTATATCTTGCAAAGATTCAATCATAAGTATTGATTATAAGACCATTCCCTTAACACCACAATCGCTTGTTGTGCTAATATTACTGTACCGGTGGTCTTCAGAATCTTTGTCAATCAATCAAGCAGCAACAACACTATTTAAATAACTCAAGCAAGAATAGATCTAGGATGGGGAGAAGTGAATAGGGTGGATAACCTTTCCCACAAAAATACATAGGCCTAGACTAGAGCAATCCCTTTATACCAAGTAATAGAAACAAAGTTAACATTTATAAACTCAAGATGCTTTGTGGATTAGTTTACATTTTACCAAATAACCTACAATTAAGCTCATCTCATTCCCACCCTCATTCACCCCAGCCATGGACTCTCTTCTCTCATATTAGACTCCACTACTGATACTGTGCTGCTGTTTATGTAATCATTATCATCATATGATCAAATAATTTCATCTGGCCTTGTTGATATTATCCGTCAACAGAAAAGCCAGAATTATTTTATTTATTTGTATGAGACTTCAACATCATCAACAGACCTCAGAATGTGGATCTGGGGTCGAGGCCTCCATGAACAACCTGTATACACTACCTAGCCATCCTCCATTCTTTAATACTAGATCAGCCACTACTCAAGCTGTAAGCAAATTTTTTATTGAATTGGTCTTATTTTTATCTTCCACATCACCAATGGAACTGCAATACCTTCATTTAATAAAATATTTAAGATTCAAGATTGCTTTATTATCATTAACCAAACATGTGATGAAATAAATTCTTTTTGCCTGCTGCATACAATGAAAGACATGGACAAACAGTAAAAGGAAATTCAATTATTGATAAACATTGAAAACAATAAACGGATACAATATTATTATTGGAAGCATCATCACCATAAAATTATTAAAACACTCAAAATTTATGTATTAATATAAATTATTAGTATTTTATTAATATTACTATGTTTATACTGTAGGGATATCTCCAAAATACAATTTACACAAACATATTGTATTTCTTATTTAATAGCAGCAATCATGTGACATCCATACATTTATACAAATTTGAATGACATTATTTACTCCACTATATATCTTGTATATTTTACCTCATTCTCTATATTTACATCAGCCCCGGCATCCAAAAGAAGTTTTGCAATGTCAAGGTGATCTGTGAAATTAAGATTGGCTTCTAACAGCTTGTGAAGTGGAGTCTCTTTATACTGTAACACATTGGAAACAAAGAGAGTGAATCAATAAATGACAGCTCATATGATCATATTAATCAACATTCAAAGGAAATCCACACTTATTCTTAAATTTTAAACATTAATAATATGAAATACTAGTGCACAATAATACAATTAAACTGAATGAGTGGGTAGGAATACAAACAAAAGTAATTTTTTTCTACTTGATTCTCTCTCGCCCGGTTCATCACTTTTAAGGATGTAACCTCGGGAGAAGTATTTATTATTTTTTTATTCAGTAATTACTTTAATTTTTTTATTTGTATCATGCTATGCAAATTGCAATATTTTTTGTATGAATATATTTCATATGAATTGAAATAAAAGTGATTTAACATCAACATTCAATGACTATAAATCAACATAATTAAGAGAAATTGTGATACAAATAATGTAAAATAGTAATTTAAGCAATCATATTTGGTGGGGTCAAGTTACTGAGATGGAAGGTTGGATCAGAAATAATAATAATAATAATAATAATAATAATAATAATAATAATAATAATAATAACAATAATAATAATATTAAATAATAATAATAATATTAAATAATAATATACCATGGAAAATTAAAAATTGAACAGTAAAATTTAAATACAAAATATTAATGCTGTACTTCACTAATTCCATGGACACAACATGGAGAATACGAAAAAGACAACATAAAATAGAACCATTGTTAACTAGAAAAATTAGCAAATTAAATGGATTAATATACCCTGGCCTAGTAGACGGTGGCCTAGCCTAGGATAGCATTGACTGCCTGTATCTTAATGCTAAACAAACATTTAGGCCTAGGCCTATAGACTTAATAGGAGGCTACTACTAACTAGTAGTAATTACATCATTCATAAGACATAGGCAGCTCGACTCCACCAGCCAGGCCTTGCATTTCACAGCAGCCTTCTATAGACAAGTGTCACCGTCAGACCATGGAGAAAATTTTCTCCATGGTCAGACAGGCCTTAATCAAGTGCGAAGGTCTGTGACCTAACTAATAACACGTAAAAGTTTCAAATAATGTGTCTGGGCCTAGCCTAGCTCAGTTGGGCATCGAATAGTGGCTCCACAAAAAAAAAAACCCGTCGAAGTATCAAAAACTAAAACCATATGATGAGGCCTATATTTCACGAAAAATGTAAATTAGTATTGTTTATTGTTATAAGTCTTGGCTATTAACAGTGATAATGAAATTGTGATAAATGCTTGTGATGATGAATTAATAAATTTCAAGATGGTGAATTGTCATTTAGTGTTTATAATGAATAATGTGTTGTTTCCTATACGTACCTCGTCTTGCAAATTGACATTGCGTGCAGAAATCATCAGAGATTTTCTCATTTCCTGTGCGTAGCCGTATTTAGAAATGTGATGTAGAATACAATCACCGTAGTACTACACAATGAACAAGGAATATGAAAACAGAGAATACAACACATCATCACTTTAAAAAAATATTTTTTAGGTAATTTAATTTTATGGAGTATCTAATTAAAATTGCAATTATTGAATTCAGTGCTCAATACAGATCAAAACAAGATCAAACACGATTGTGAAATTTTCATGTAAAGCTGATTTTCAGCAAACTATAAACCAATTTTTTTACATTCATTTTGCTGTATCACACAACATGGACGCCCTATGTTTTGTACATGTTAAAAATCATCATTTAAAAAAACAAACAATTAGGTATTGTATTTTTTATGGAAAATTTAATTAAAAGTATAATTATTCAATCCGGTGTTCAATGTGGACCAAAACAACACCAAACATGAATGGAATTTTTTTATGTAAACCTGATTTCCAGCAATTTTAAACAAGTTTTTTTTGGCCCATGATGAACTGCTGTCACTCAGCCAAGCGATGTAAAGAAATGTTATTTTTACACGTTAACGATGCGGAAAGTTAAACAATAAATGATCAATATTGATCGTAAAATACAATAAAATATCATATTTATATTGTGGATAAATGATTAAAATATGTTTTAAGTGTAATAAATTGTTGTTGTTAGGTAAGAATTGATGTAGAGTGATGTATGGTATGTTGTGTATAGATGCTGTGTTGTTGTATTTTGTGTGTTGATGTCGTAATTGTAATGATACATAATTCTACTCACCGGGTTCACGAAGTCCACAGCTTCTGCCGTCGCTGATTTTAAACTCTCAGCAAAGAGTATAAATAGAACAAGAGAGCAAAGTCCCGTTCGTAAAAACGTCATGCCTGTGTAGGACGCCAACTAACGGTTGTATATTCTTTTTATTACCCAGTGCAGCGCTGCGCAGCGCGGTAGTATAAACTCAGTAAGCAGAAAACAAAAGCACAGTATCTTGTGGAGAACAGATAAACAGCCAAACCTACAGTGCGCGGTGCAGTACTGGGTAATAAAACATATACAAGCGTTAGTTGGCGTCCTACACTAGCTGCGTAGAGCGTATCGTTTTTTTACGCTCCCAATGAGCGTTGTTGGCTCTCTTGTTCTATTTATACTCTTTGCTCTCAGCGACGACATCACGTGGTGCGCTGTACAACACAATCTGATATAATAACGACCAGCCGCCCTACGAAAACAAGAAAATACGATGATAACAAAACACATTCAACTATCACACATACACAAAATATCACATATAAACACAACTTAATCACATCATAATTACATTAAATAATCACAATCAATTAAATATTCAAATATTATTACAAATTAACTAACAATTTAAAGCTAAATCGTTTAAAATCGTAAACTTTAGCATTTTTTTCTGAACGCTTTTCCCTATCCTTTTGCATTGAAAATGTTTTAGTTCATTTAGGGTTTTGTTCAGATCATAATTTTTTATGAATTTTGTATTTTTAACATTCTAGATATATTTCTTTTGTATAAAGGTTTGAAAAGAATACAAACAATGATATGTTTTATCCACTAGCTAACATTTTTCTTTATCATTAGGCCTATGCTGACTTCAGAGAAAATTCCCTATTCTTTATCATTAGATACATAAAATCTGTTATCCCATTTGTTCGGAATCATATTTTTTTTGAAAAGCTATATTTTTAAGATCATATTTGACTTTCTTTTGATTAGAGTTTTAAAAGTAATCCAAACACATATATGTTTTAACGACTAATTAACGATTTTACCAAGCTTTAAACCTATACTACTTTCAGACAAAATTTGCCTAATAGATACATAAATTCTGTAGGCCCATCTGATCGGAATCATATTTTTTTTGAAAAGCTATATTTTCAAGATCATATTTGACTTTCTCTTGAGTAGAGTTTTAAAAGTAATCCAAACACATATATGTTTTAACGACTAATTAACGATTTTACCAAGCTTTCAACCTTATGCTATTTTCGGACAAAATCTGCCTATTCTTTATCATTGGATAAGGCCGGCCTACTATGGGCACGTCTCTGTTCGGAATCATAATTTTTTCAAAATATTATATTTTAAACCTCGTAACTGCCTTTCTTTTGATTAGAGTTTTATAACAAATACAAATACTTATATATTATATTGATTAATTAAAAAAAATGTCAAAGCATCTTATACAAACTTCAGACAAAATGTGTCTTTATCATTAGATACGTACATAATTATATTAATTCATAAATTTGTTTAGAATAAGAATTTGTTTTGTATATGATATTTTATTTTTTGAATTAAAAACTCAAAAAGTGTTTAAACTAGAATACAATAACATAGAATAATTATTTTGTTATCAATTACATGGTACAGCCGACAATGTAACGGAGTTACTATACAGTATCATGTAAGTATTGTGCACTTGTTACTACATTAACAAAAACATCAAAACTCTAGAGGGCGCCAGACTAGTATTTTTGGTTATCAAATGATCGTCGCTCATCTTTACTGTGAAACCGAACCAATAGCTAGTAATTTAATGCAGGCCTATTTTATTTTTGTATGTTTCTTTACTTATGTATGCACCATGCATTTTGTATGAGTGATACTGTATTAAAGTGGATCCAATAATTGATTGATTGATTGATTGATTGATTGATTGATTGATTGATTGATTGATTGATTGATTGATTGATTGATTGATTGACCGTGTTTTCGACCCAAATTGAGTGGGGACATTAAGCCTACATTATTGATAGCCAGATCCCTGTCTCTTATCCAGATCCATTGACTTCACATTTAATTGATAAAGGCATGGTAACAGAAATTAAATATTTCGTGGTTAACAATTACATAGTTAGTAGGTCTGGTTTTAGATTGAAATTTCCAACACGTAAGGAACAGAAAATCATTTATTCCCCACTCCATTCGTATAACTTTATAGAAAAACGTATCTCCCTACTTTAATTATTTATGTTAGGAAAATTTTAAATACAATATCAATCAATTCTTTTGATGTGCAATTATACATACTGGGGCGTATTTTTTAAGTTCATGAAGAAGTCTCCAGTTACTTTGTATAAGACCAATCCCACAATAATTTAAATTAATTAATCTCACAGTTTTGTAATCTTAAAAGAATTTTTAAATTGTTTTACATGTAATAATCATTTGATGAATATATATATATATATATATTGCGACAATGGAAATTAAATGGTGGTTCCAGTTGCGGGGGAAGGTCTCCAGTCAGAGAGAGCCGGCCCTCCCGACCGAAAGAGAATCAACACAATTCGTTTGGGAGGAAAAAAACAATTTATGTTACTTTTACAGAATATGAGGCCGTGCAATCGATTACGAACCTTCAGCATTCAAAATCTCTACATTTCCAGGGCTTTTGGGCCCGGGGCGCCCCCGGTCCCCCTTAGAGGTTCCGGGACATCGCCCCTTCCATACCATCGGGTAAATCTTGGCTCCACCATTTTTCTTTTGTAATGATTTTTCATAAAGTATAACAAGCTGCTTACAACTTTAAGATTATCTTTTGGCCCGCAAGATCAACTCTAAAAATAATTTGGCCCTTCAAATAAATTAATTAAGAGCCAGGGGCATAGTCCATACATGATTGGATTGTAGTTTTTTTAAAAGAGTGATTAAGTAAAAAAATGCTATATCCAATATAGTCTTATTTAATTGGCGAAATGGTTATTCCAGGGTACAAAGATTTTATCAATACGGTCCTACTTCTACTTATAATTTACATTTTGTTAGAAATTAAGATGGTTTATGCTATATATATACTGTCTCTTATACACATCTAGATGTGTATAAGAGACAGCAATTAAATATTCAACATCTAGATGTGTATAAGAGACAGCATATATATATGTATGTATAACTATATATATATATATATAATATAAGTTAGCATTTTGAAAATTAATAAACGTTTATAAATACAGTATCTTATTTCAAAATCGTTTTAAAGGAATTTTCATCTTAAAATTTAATTAAAATCAATTAAATATTAGATTTGATATATGTAAATCGCAAATTTAATAGCATTGAACTGCACATTAAAAAAAATATTTAAATTGAAGACAAATGAAACTTTACATAATAACACGTTTTATTGACACACGAGCTTCCGACCACACAATGTTCTTCATCAGGTGAATGAAGATCACATCCATAATCAAGACCACTGTGTGGTCGAAAGATAAAATTTGTTAGTATGTAAAGTTAAGTTTGTCTTCAATTTTCTGTTTTATTATCTAGACTAACACGGCTACATTTTCTACTTCACCATGATGCAAAATATGCATGTACGAAGTTGCCGGTCATAGGCCTATATAATATATTTGTAAATGGTATTGCATCTTCCCGCTTGCGTAATTGTTATTGACCATCATGGATATTCTAAGAGGTATTCCCATTCGTTATCTCAATTTTTATCTGTTTGTAACAACATTCCTCTCGCAATTCAAGAATGCCAGTGTTTTAGCATTTTCAAAATAAATTACAAGAAGCACTTTCTTTTAAATTCATTATTTTTAATACATTTATTAGTAATAAAGGAAAGAAATATAAATTATCTTTTTATATTTAAAAAGAAATGGAATACAGAGAGCGAACGTTTGGATGGAAAATTAGAAGGTAAAAGAGAGAAGGAAGGCCAAGAACAAGTTAGATAAGCAACATCAAGGAGTGGACAAGGATGAAGTACGGAGAATGAGAAGAATTGAAGATCAGATAGAGAGGGATGGAGATGTCGACAATGGTGTAACGTCCGTGAGGTCTGGGGGCGCATGTGGACCCCATTCAAAATTGTGCCAAGAGGGGCCTCGCCGCCCTCCTATTACTACCTAGGCACTTTACTAACGCGCCTTCAGAGTAAGTCGCATTCCAAATGGACCCGGGGGAGGCCACTGGGCCCATCTCACTGCTACCCAGCACTCTACAACAACGCCTTGACAATACAGTAACAATAACTGTAAGTAACAGTAACTTTTATTGACATCATCAAAACAATCATGAACAGTCAAATACAGACAAAATAGAGTAACAGAAAATGTATAAGCGTACTGTATGTCGAACGTGCGACATAGCTTTCTTAAATCGACACAGTTAGTTATATAGCTGCTAGTTTCATTATTTGCCATAGACGGACTCTCTTTTAAAAAAATGCATTTTTAATATATTTTCCTAAAGAGGAGAGGGTGTCAAAATCGGATGACCTCATAAGAGCCACAAATACTACTCACCTGATACAGGCCAAAATTGGCAATGGAATTTTGCAGGTCATTGATTAGAAATACTCTCAGGTCATTGTGGTCATTACATTTGATAATAAAATGAGATTTCATCCTCGACTTCTCCTGATTTACATAGGCCTATGCGTTTTTCCAGTGGAATCTTAGGACGACATAACGTCCGGAGTTTCAATCATTATCACATGCGCGCTAGTACGCGATTTGGCAATATAGAATCTTATACTTCAAAAATCGGTTTTTCTATAGAGAATGTGTGCTTATACGTACATTAGAATCTCATCTTAGGCCGTTTAACAATACTATTGTACCAACATTGCTCATAGAGACCGTTTTGAATACGGTATCCCTTATTCTATGCGACAGATCTTTGCTTGAATTAAAAATAAGAGGTCTGTTCCAAACATTCGAAATCCCAGTTGAGTCGGTTATTTTATAAATACCGGACGACCAGGTAGATATTGAATTAATAAACAGAGATCTATTTTCAGTTAGTGCATCAGTAGCTAGTGAGGAGTGGCCCTTTCTGCATTTTTCGTTTAAGTTCCACCAATAATTAACTGCATGACTTAACATGTTGATGAGTAACGGGTGGCTACCTAGCCCGTACAGCATTATTGGTGGTTCTTTTATTTACACCAGTATAATTTTACATAAATTTACATAAAGATTTTCACTAGGAAGTTATCACATATTGACATTAAATTGTTACCATTAAAATTAAATATAATGTATGGAGCCCATATTTCACAACAATTGGAGATAATTGGATAAACTAATATAAAACAATTTAAGGCAGAGTTACAGTCTATACCAATAAGATTACTTCTAACTTTCAAGAATGCCTTGCTTGCTTTTTCTTTTAGTTTATTCATATCGACTGCAAATGAGCCAGAGGGCGTAAAGCAGATACAAGGAAGAAATTCATTAGCAATATCAATATTCTTATCATTGTAGAGGAATCAACATTGTTTAAGTAGGTGTCCTCTTTTGTTAAAAAATATTATTTTTGTTTTGTTAATATTTATATCTAGTTTCCATTGTTCGCAATACGACGAAAGCTTATCAATGGTGTTTTGAAGCCCATTACTGGTTTCCAGGGACGTATCCAG